CATATATTAATGATTTGAAGTTTTCTTCTCTGATTCATCCAAATTGCCTTTTTCTGTGTGTTTTACTCCCTGTTTTTCATGTTAAAGTATTCCCCTGATGTCCGGAAAGTCATGGTTGCTTGCTCATATTTAAAAGTAAGGGACAAAAGAACTGAACAGAAGCCTGAGCCCAAGAGTGGGGCTTGTTTACCTGATTAGGCTGTTCCACTGAGAATCCCTTCTCCCAGCTAATTTCAGTCCTTTTTAGGTCTTTCCTCTTGGGCTGGTCAGATTCTTCCCAAGAAATGCATTTCAAATAAAGATCTGATTGCCAGCATTGTGGTTGCACACAGAGGGATGAGAGCTGAGGGTCCTAGCATCTAGTATGCACACATTCACTTAATACTCTTGTCCATTTAGTGCCCCACCCTCATGGATACCAGGTGTTCCCCAGTCCAGGTGCTCTTTCTTTTACCCTAGCCAGAGAATTAATAACCCATCTTCTGCCTGGGCTCGGGAGGATCCGTCATTCCACCATAGGGAATGTGGGAGAGGATTTGGGATGGAACTGTTTCTTATATGGAATTTGGATTGAACCTCATCTTAGCACTCCTCTCATCACTCCCACTTCTAGAGGTACTTGGGACGCTCATTTCTGAGCCTTTTGGGAACTCAGCTTTCCCCAGCGTTGGCTTAAATTCTTTTTTGGGGGGGTCTGCCAAATAATTTACAGCTCCTCCACGTGCTTTTCAGCTTTCAGAATGTTGTCGTTTCTGTTGACTTCCCATTCAGCCTGTCCTTGTGGGTTTATGCTTTTTTAAAAAGATCCCTTTACTTTTTTATAGTGTTTACTCAGAGCATCAGAAGAGAGCAAAAGAAGATGAATATGTTTAAGCACTATCTCTACTCAGAGTCCATGCCATTGTCTCTAAAATTTTAGAGATATACCACAAACATTACTAGAATCCATTAATAAATGTATCCGTGGCTTTAGGTGAATTACTGAGAGCTAAAATTTAAATCACTACACAATGACTCAAGTAAGGTGAGGCCAGGAGATTCCAACAACCCATCCAGGACAGGTAACAGGGTCTTTTTTTGTAGGGGCTCAAGAAGCAGTCTAATTCCTTTTATTTAATGTTAATTGATGTCATTTGATAAAATAAGGAATATTTTACATCAGAGTTTGGCTAACTTTTTCTGTAATGGACCAAAGAGTAAATATTTTAGGCGTCGTAGGTCATATACTGTCACCAGCTACCTAGCTCTGCTGTTTTAGAGCAAAAGTAGCCATAGACAACACACATCAACAAATGAGCATCACTATGTTCCAATAAAACATTATTTACAAAAACAGGCACTGGGCCGAAATTGGCCTGTGGTCATTGCTTACTGACCCCTGTTTTAGAACAAACAATATCAATGACAAAATTACCAAAAGCAGACTTTTTCTTACTAGGCTATTTCAAGGGCCAAATGACAGAACACTTTTGGGCATTTTTGATTTCATAAATATTTTGAGATTAGATTATTAATTATATTCCTTTCTTGAGTTGCAACATCTGAATAATTGAGACATGCACATAATCTAGCTGACTTTGAACAATATGAGTTATGCAAAATTACTCTTGCCCTTCCTTTTAGAGATTTCATTCACTGACCATAAAATCAATGCAACAATTTATTTTTTATTAAATAATTGTTTATTAGGCACCTAATATATGTGAGACATTGTTCTCACACTGAGGATTAAGAGTAAATTAGACAAAGTCTGGCTTTTGTTGTCCAAATGACCAAATCCATTAAGCTTACAATTTTCACTGAACTATGGCTTTCCTTAAAGGCTTAAAGTAATTTGTGTACTCTCCTTTATCAGGTAGGTATCTCAGATAGTATTTTAATCTTCATTCAACTCTGACCATCACGTTACCCAATCTGTTTCCTTCTCTAAAGGGCCTCCCACTACACTGTTATACACACAGATTTATGATCTGCGCTGTCATAGTAATACATTCTCTGGCCTTGTGGCTTAGATAATCAGGGATATCATGCATCACTGGCATTTATTGTGTTTGCTTGAAGCTCTTGGGGCCTGTCATGCATTTTTATTTTGCAACAAGTTAATAATTTTCAGCTCACATTTCAGAGCTATTAGTATGACAAATATTCCTGTGCAATGCCTAGTGAATTCTAATGAAGTAATAGGCCAGTACCCCATCTCTACCCTCGAGAACAAGCCCCATCCTGACCCAGCCTCGGGGACTCAAGTGCAGATCTCTTGGTAGTTATTGGGAGTTGGGCGGGGGAGGGACAGGGGAAGGCATTTTAGAAGCACAGAGCGAGATCGCTTCTGGTTTTTGCCTAGCCTAGAGTTCTTTGTAATGTCTCCATCTAAATGGCAATTATGAAGCCAGAGCCACTTCGAGCCAAAACATGGTTTGAATTGGTTTTAGGACAGATCCAAGGATCCGGTACAAGGCAAGAACTTCCCAGAGATCCTAAACTCCTGGGATTTGCTCAAAGTCCTACTTCTTTCCTGTGGGACAATTCCTTTGACTCTTAAAGTACATTGTATTGTTCACTTTTTTTTTTCACTAATGGTAACTCAAGTGAAATTGTCAATTCTGAGATGACATTATCATCCACATGTGACTGGTGAGGAAACAGGTTCGATGAGGTTGTTCAGGCTCACAATGCGTTTGGATGGCAGAGCCTATTCCTAAACTCAGGTCTTTTCTCCTTCTTAGTGAGTCAGCTTCTCTTTTTACTGGTCAAGGATGAGTAAAGTAACTCCTTTAATTATGTGGCGTCCCTTGGGTTGTCTTCTGCCCTAGCTCTCAAGGCAACTTAACCAAATATCATGGAGAAGGGGGGAGTGGTAGAAAAATGAATGAAAAGGCAAAGCAAGGAATTGAATGCTAAGTCTGTTTTATAAACTAAGTTATGTGCCAACCCTTTCAGAAGCCTGATTTTAAAAAAAGTAAAACTAGAAGAAAGAGTCCTGTTGACATCTAGGTCATAAACTGAGGGCAAGAGGAACCAGTGGCAGGAGAGGAGTGACTGGGTCAGTACCAGTAAATGCAGTGACAATGATGAGACAGTAGAAATTGGTCCCAAGGCCGGGTAAAAGTAGGTCTGTGTCCCCAGGGCAGGGACTGAGAATGAAAGCCAGGAAAGGACCAGAGGGCTTGGAGCCACAAGCCTCAGAGAACTTCAGTGAAGGAAAGGAGAATTCAGGAACTGCTTAGGAACTCTGACAGAGGAAGGGGCAGGGATTTGGGCCACGATCCAACAATGCTACTGTGGGGCTGCATTTTGTTACTGTTGTCTTGCTCCTTGTGATTGTACTGATCCAGGGTAATCTGGCCTGAGAAACTTGGGTTATGCAAATTTGATTAGGATACAGCTTTTGATCATAAGGAGGTCATGGCATAGTGGGGAGATAAACGTGAACACAACTATTTACACAGCTGTGTGGTAAGTGT